GGTATGAAAGTTTCTTCTGTTGCATATGGTTCTATCATTCATTCACAGAATTTTGACAGAAAGTTGTAGAACTGAAAAAAGCTTGATATACAAACCACTAGCTGCATTGGCAATTTTACGCTACTGACCCTCCACAGTTTGTCTCTATTAACTATTCAGATTTATGCAACTACCATTATCCCAAGGGTTACTCAAAGACATTGACAGGAGATCTAGCAGCATTCTGTCCATTCAATATAACTACTTTTAATATCTAAATATTTTCAGGTTAACTTTGGTTGAAGCATACTTGAAGGAATTCCTCATTTGATCCTCATCATCACCTCATTTGATCATCATGTTACCCCCATCAGACCCAAAGAGTCAATACATTAATCTATTTGGTAGATAAACTCTCAGGCTTCTGAAAGCTAAGTGACTTTCCAAGAATCACACAATACGTTAATTGCTAAGCCAAGGCATGAGAGTCAGATACATGATTCCCAAACCAGGGATCCTTTTTTGTTATTACATTGCCTAAAAAGCTGGCATTCAAATGGAATTTAGAGGTCATTTAATCTGGCCATGTCATTTGATTGACGAATAAATTTTCTGGCTAAGAATCTATACATTTGTTTAGTGCTTTATATACTCATCATCAGCATTAGTATAAATTAAATTTTCTATTATGTTCTCAGCCTGATTCACACTTTTTAGAAAATATAAAACTTATTATTTCATACTTAATTTACTAACCTTGTGTAGTTAGTAAGTTATTACTAACTACTAATATTACATCCTTATTTTTGAAATTTTTTGTTCAGTACATTTATTTCATTAGGATGCTACTAATGAAATTAACTTCCTTTTTTTAAAAAAGGTGAATAATCTCATTTTTATCAGTTTCACTTACAAGCAATATATATATGTGTATATATATGTGTATATACATATGAGTGAATTATAAATTTTCATTTTGTAGACTTAATATTTAAAATGAAAGATGGTGGGAAGCACACATATTTCTCAGTCTTGTTGGGAAAGAAAATGACAATGAGATTTTCTGTTTTTGTTTTGTTTTGTTTTGTTTTTAGATGTATTAGCAAGACAGGTGTGGGGTAGAATGGAGTAGCCATGAACATAGAGGAAAAGTGGAGACAGTGAAAACATTTTGGAGTGAAAAAACATAGATACATTTAAGGGATAAGAAAGAAAAAATAATAAAGCACAATATTTAAAGAGAACAAAATAAATGAAGCCAGAAAGACACAGAGAGGTGAAAAAGAGCAGGCAACAAATTAACAGGGAAAAGAAATCACGACCAGAAAAAAAAAATGAAAATGAACGCGTATTGATGAATAAAGAAAGAGAGAAAAAGAAAAATAAGAAAGGAGATGGAGTAAGCACATAGGATCTCTAAACACCTGGCTCCAGGAGCCCATCTGACCACAGTTCAGACTCCAGCCATGCACACATAGAGTTGCCTGGAGATGTTTCTGTGTCTCCACCCTGCAAATGTGGTGAACCCTTCTCCTTCATCTTCCCTATTTCTGTAGTGTGTCATCATGGCCAGAAACTGATGAATCTGTGAATTAGCTGAAATGGCAAGAAGGATTAGAGATACAGTGAGGAGGGTATGGTACAGACTTTTGACAGAACTTTCTCTACTAATTTGGCTAAAATAAAACACTTTAATCTGATGATGCTGTCATTTATGGATTTTTTTTTGGTAGACACTTATTTTATTTTGCTTAGAGGAATGCTCATCTGATTAGTCTCTGTGTCTATTCCAACCACCATTTAGAGAAGGTAGAGCTGATTCAAAGATGGAAATGGGACAGGGCAGAAAGTTGATCAAGATGTCAAGTAGTACAGAATCCCATCTGTTAAGAAACGGTAGAAAAATAACAGTGAGGCTGGGACACATGCAGAATGGAAGAGTTTATAACCTTCAGTTTCAAAGTCCTTCAGAAATCCTCAAAAGTCTCAGGGATATTGTTAAATGTTAACACATCAAGAAATACCCCACTCTATGTGAGCATGTGGGACGCATAAAACATAAGAGTAAGTACAGTTGACCCCAGAAAAACATGGGTTTGAACCACATGGGTCCACTTTCATGTGAACTTTCTTCCACCTCTGCCACCCCTGAGACAACAAAACGAACCCTTCCTCTTCCTTCCCCTCCTCAGTCTGCTCAGTGGGAAGATGACAAGGATAAGAACTTTATGATGATCCACTTCCACTTAGTGAACAGTATTTATTTTTTCCTTTCCTTATGATTTTGTTATATTTTATTTTCTGTAGCTTATTTTATTGTAGGAATATAGTATATAACACATAAAACATAAAAATATTTGTTATTCAACTGTTTATGTTACCAGCAAAGCTTCTGATCAACAGGAATCATTAGAAGCTAAGTTTTTAGGGAGTCAAGGTATATGTTAATTTTTTATTGCACAGGGGTTCTGCCCCCTTAACTCCTGCATTGTTCAAGGGTCAACTGTAGAAGGGGCTCTTGATTTAAGGAAATATTTATATAGGCAGATAGTAGAATAAATGTTGAGACAAATGGCTGGCAAAGGGGGGAAAGGTTAAGACAGGAGAAGAAAAGCTCATTTGAAGGACCCACAAAATATTTTTTCCTATTACAATTAGTGTGTGTTTGGACGTATTTGTGTGCATATGTGTGTGTTCATGTGGTATTTGCATATGTATATATGATGATGTGTTAAAGGATGACTTTCATAAATTCCACCTGTGGCTGCCAGTAACACCCAGAAATTTCTGTATTAACCACTCTATTCTGCTCTAGGGATACATAAAGCAGATAGTTTTAATGCTTCTTAAAATATGTACCTTAAGATGACACTATATAGATGCACTGTCTTTTGGTGTTTGCTTGCTTGTTTGTTTTGATTTTCTATTTCTCTCTTCTTTCTTCCCTCATACTCTATCTTCCAGTCTTTCTTTTCTAGGTACTGTCACAGTAGCATTTTCCGTCAAAGATTTTCCCTTCCTTCTGCACCCCATGTGCTAGAGCACTTATTTATTTATTTATTTATTTATTTATTTATTTATTTATTTATTTATTTATTTATTTTGAGATGGAGTCTCGCTCTGTCTCCCAGGCTGGAGTGCAGTGGCTCGATCTCAGCTCACTGCAAGCTCTGCATCCCGGGTTCACGCCATTCTCCTGCCTCAGGCTCCTGAGTAGCTGGGACTACAGGCGCCCACCACCATGCCCGGCTAATTTTTTTGTATTTTTTTAGAGAGAGGGGGTGTCACCATGTTAGCCAGGATGGTCTCAATATCCTGACCTTGCGATCTACCTGCCTCGGCCTCCCAAAGTACTGGGATTACAGGCATGAGCCACCGTGCCCTGCCGCTGAAGTGCTTATTTAAAACAAATATACTGCTTAGTTAAATCATGTGAAGAATAGCCTTTCATATTATAGTTTGTATTTTGTTGTAGGCCAGCAATTTTCAAACTTAAAAAATTTATTCCCATAAGACATTTTTTGACTATATAACCTTAAATGTATGCATATTTATTTATAAAGTATATATCAACCATTGTACTAATATGTTATCCATTATAAATGTTAAAAAGTGAATTTAGAAAAGAACAAAATATTGTGATATGTATAAAATATTATACATCTACTAAATATAGATAAATTACTATGCTCTTCCTATACTTCAGTGGGTTATTATGTGCACCTTCTGGAATGAGTATACACCATGAAACAATCTGAATTTTAAATATGCATTTTATTCACAATGCACATTGTTGTCTTTTTATTTAAACAAGGTTGAACTTACAAATCAAAGCAATATGGGAGTGATTTTAGACTAGCAATATTATTTTTAGTTATTCAAATGCAAAAAAAGAACATTCATTCATTAAAGCTGTGATTAAAAAATTCTTTATCTATTTAAACTGAATAGTATACACTTGCCTTATCCTATTACTTATCAAGCAGAGCAAAAAATAAAACTCACTCTAAACTTAAGTAATATAACCACAGGAGCTTTTGTTTGCTCATCTTTGAAATGGAAGAATAAGACTACAGTATCTTTATGGGTACTTACAGTGAGTGTATCTATGCTATGATTTTATGAGTTGAGATAATGACATTTTGAAGTTTTATATTTGCAAATTTTATATTGTAGCATATTGTTTGTTAAAAGGCTCTGTCTTGGGTGTCATACTGGGAACAGAGAAAGAAATGTGTTGAGTTTATTAGTATTTGAAACTCAAAAAGTGCTAAATTAGCTGCATGCAGGTGTGGTGTGGCCACAAGAGTGGTGCTCAGAGTTATGGCTGGAGCACTATGTCTGTGTTAGTTCAAAAGTGGAGCTACAGCTTGGGATTCTGGTGAACAGTCTGGGAAAAGAGTATACAAGGATATCAGACCAGAAGGAGTATAATAAGAAGTACATTAGATGATTAGTCAGAGGGCAAGGAAGAGAGTTACCAGCTAGGAACTGGAAATTACACAGGAATTGAGGGAAGAAAATGTCTAGGAAAATTTTGGGGTGGTGTGGACAAGGAGAAAAAGGGTCTAATCCCAAGAAAAGAGCTAAGCCTCAAGCACAGTATATCCACAACTCAAAGACCTTCAGATTTGAAGTTAGGTTGTGTTTCCATTAGGAAACTTGAATGATTTAAGAATGTAGAAATCCCAGCATGGAGGATGCAGAAATCCCAGCATGGAGGATGCAGGAATCCCAGCGTGGAGGATGCCAGACTCCTGACATGGAAAATGATTCTGTAGAAGCACGTGGTTGAATGGGAATAAAACTGTAGCTTTGAGAACTGTATTTTGTTTTCATTTTAAATTTGGAGAAATTAAGGTAATTACCCAGAATAGGAGAGGGGTGGGAAGTGTTGTTTTTAGCTGAAGTACTATAGGTGCCAAATATTTTTTAGCAGTAGAACTAGTATCTAGTTGGAAGACACAGAGACATAGTAATAACAATTAATTCTGCTTGTTAATGTACTGCAGGCCAGGGAAATGGAAAGCGAGAACGGAACAGTGATAACAGAATTCATCCTCCTTGGTCTGACCCAGTCTCGAGATATTCAGCTCCTGGTCTTTGTGCTAGTTTTAATTTTCTACTTCATCATCCTCCCTGGAAATTTTCTCATTATTTTCACCATAAGGTCAGACCCTGGACTCACAGCCCCCCTCTATTTCTTTCTGGGCAACTTGGCCTTCCTGGATGCATCCTACTCCTTCATTGTGGCTCCCAGGATGTTGGTGGACTTCCTCTCTGAGAAGAAGGTAATCTCCTACAGAGGCTGCATCACTCAGCTCTTTTTCTTACACTTCCTTGGAGGCGGGGAGGGATTACTCCTTGTTGTGATGGCCTTTGACCGCTACATCGCCATCTGCCGGCCTTTGCACTATTCAACTGTCATGAACCCTAGACCCTGCTATGCAATGTTGTTGGCTCTGTGGCTTGGGGGTTTTGTTCACTCCATTATCCAGGTGGTCTTCATCCTCCGCTTGCCTTTTTGTGGCCCAAATCAACTGGATAACTTCTTCTGTGATGTCCCACAGGTCATCAAGCTGGCCTGCACCAACACGTTTGTGGTGGAGCTTCTGATGGTCTTCAACAGCGGCCTGATGACACTTCTGTGCTTTCTGGGGCTTCTGGCCTCCTATGCAGTCATTCTTTGTCGCATATGAGGGTCTTCTTCTGAGGCGAAAAACAAGGCCATGTCCACATGCACCACCCATATCATTGTTATATTCTTCATGTTTGGACCTGGCATCTTTATCTACACGCGCCCCTCAGGGCTTTCCCAGCTGACAAGGTGGTTTCTCTCTTCCATACAGTGATTTTTCCTTTGTTGAATCCTGTCATTTATACTCTTCGCAACCAGGAAGTGAAAGCTTCCATGAAAAAGGTGTTTAATAAGCACATAGCCTGAAAAAGAGGGGGAAAAAAATAGAGTGTAGAATTGTATCTGAAATTGATCTGTTTATTTCCAAGCACTGCAATCATTGAATACCTCCCATTTGTCAGGACTATTCTAGGATCTGAAGAAAGAAATTAATGAGGCAGATAAGGTCTATCTGCTCTCCAAGAGATATAACAAGAGATATAACCTAGTAAAAATAGACCACCATTAAGGCAGAAAATAAACAGCATAGTTTCAGGAAGAGATATTGCTCTGTAAAAACTAAAAAGAAAAGTAAAATGATAAATTGTGACTCTGGATTGGGAGTAACCAATTTGTGTTTAATAATCAAAAAAGGCCTTGAGATGCTGACATTTTGGATCATATCTAGATAAACTGAAGAAGCCAAACATGCAAACATTTGGGGCTATAGTATTCTAGACAGAGGGCACAGGTAGTGCAAAAACTCAAAGATGATGATGAACTTGGTATATTTGAGGAATATGATTAAGTCCGTGTTACCCAGAATATAGTAATTTAACGTGAAAATGATTAGATTTAAAGTTGGAGATACTGGTAGTGTCAAAAACATATGGTCTACATAGTAAATATGAGTTTTAATTTTATTACAGTAAGAAGCCATTCTGTGGTTTTAAGCAAAAGAGTGATTCCTCTACTGAAGGTTCATAAATGACTTAGGGCTGTAAACTCAAGATTCTATGCAGATATCAAAGAGTTTAAAAATATCATTAAGAGGAAAATATTATATTTGTAAGTGCACTTTGAAAGATATTAAACTACCAATTTTTCTTCCATAAATAAGCAGAGAGTGGCAAAAGAAAGCTGATTACTTTTATTGAAAAAGGTCACAAAAACATTTTACTTTTTTTTTTCTAGAGCTTCATTATTAATCCCAGCAAATTTTTATGACTTTTAGCTGTAGGTTTGACCTTATCGCCAATGGATTTCACTCTAAGTTTAATAATGATAGTCCTTTGGTAGACCAATCAGGATTTTGTGTCAGAGAGAAGAAACCATTCTAGCTATTTTAAACAAAACATCATTTAATATCGAGAGTTAGGTGTTCACAAAATCTCTGGAAAGTCTAAAAGAGTAGACTATAGGCTGGACATCCAGAGACGCCTTACAGACTAACACAGGTGACCTATGTCGTCAGGGAAGTTGTTCTTGCTACAATCTTAGCCATCTGTTGTCTGTAAAACATTACCACTTTAGCCATGTGCCTGGGATCAAGTTAATGATCCAGAATCACTCTGGACCTATCAAATCACTCCTAGTATAACAGAAGACTCTCCTACTACCTCCCTGCCTAACTAGCTTACTACAAATTCAAATCTCATATGAGTACATTAAATGGGCAGCATCAAAAAAATCTGGAACCCCAAATGCAAGGAGGTCTAAAACTGAGTTTTAAAATATTTTATTTTTGATAATAACCAAAGTTTATACTTATGAATATAAATTATGTACATGGTAAAAATATTCATAGAATATAGAAAAAGTGGTCTGAATCTTCAAATAATCCTTCTCCATTCTCACTCTGTTTATTGTGTTGCTTCCTGTTTTACGGAGAAAGGTAGCAGGTGAGAATTCCTTAATCTCCCATCACTACCACTATATGACCTGCATCTGTGATTAAGTTTCCTTTAACTTCTCCTGAGACTGGGTGACCTGCTCCTGCTCCTACAGAAGTAAACTCTTCAACTTGTGCCCCAGATTCCATCCCCTCCTCTCTACTAAAGGCAATTACTCTGGTAACTCTCCTTTCTCTCATCTATAACATGAACTTTGTCCTCCCTATTGGGTGTAACCTTTAGCATGTAACCACATTTCTTTGCTCCTAAATAAAACCTTCTTGCCACCTTTTTCCCTCTCCATGTCACTTCATGAGTCTTTGTGCCTCCACATGAATTTTAGGATTTTTGAAAATTTCTTTAAAAAATGATGTTGGGATTTTCACAGAGATTGCATTGAATCTATAGATTGCTTCAGGTAGTGTGGATATTTTAACAATATTAACTGTTCTTTTCCGTTAACATAGAAAGTCTTTCCATTTATTTGCATCTGCTTTAATTTCTTTCATCAGTGTTTTATAGTTTAAGTGTACAAGTCTTTCACCTCCTTGGTTAAGTTTATTCCTAAATATTTTATATTTTGGTTCTAATGGAAATGAGATAAATTTCTTAATTTCCATTTTAGATAGTTCTTTGTTATTGTACAGAAATTGAAATGATTTATTTCTTTGGTAGATTTTTAAATTTGTAAATATTTAATTGACAAAGATCAAACATATTCAAAGCATATGAAATGATAATTTGATACACATATACATTGTATAATGATTACCACAATCAAATTAACACATTTAATCACCATCCATGTTGTACGTTAGTTACCCAGAATGTGTTCATCTTATGGATGAAAATTTGTACCCTTTGACCAACATATTCCCCTTTTCTCTCACTTCAAAACCCATGACAACCACTGTTCTACTCTCTCCTTGTATGAGCTTTTATTTTTTTCAGATTCTACATGTAAGTGAGATTATATAGTATCTCTTTCTGTGTCTGGCTTATTTCACCTACCATAATATCTATTAGGTTTATCTATATTGCTGCAAATGAACAAAACTTCCTTCTTTCTGTGGCTGAATGACAGTCTATCACATATATGTACCACAATTTTTATACTCATTCATCAATTGATGTACACTTGGGCTGTTTCCATATTTTGGCTATTGTGAATAATGCAGCAGTGAACATAGTAGTAGAGTTATCTTTTAGAGATACTGATTTCATTTCCTTTGGGTATATATCTAGATGTGAGATTGCTGGAACATATGGAAGTTTTAATTTTTATTTTTTTGAGGAACTTCTATATTGTTTTCCATAATGCCTGTGCCAATTTACATTCCCATCAATAGTGTAAAAAGGTTCCCTTTTCTCCACATCCTCACCAACGCTTGTTATCATGTGTCTTCTCATAGTAGCCATTTCAGTAGGTATGAGGTGATGTCTCATTGTGGTTTTAATTTGCATTTTCCCAGTGGTTACTGATGTTGAGGCCCTTTTCATATACATGTTGGCTATTTCTATGTCTGTTTTGGGAATATGGCTGTTAAAATCTTTTCCAGTTGTAAAAATCAGGTTGTTTGTTGTTTTGCTGTTGACTTGTGTACTTCCTATTATGAATATTAACCCCTTATCGTACATATGGTTTACTAACATTTTCTCCCATTCGGTAGGTTGCCTTTTAATTTGGTCAATTGTTTCTTTTGTGGTGCAGTGGAATTTTTAGTTTGATATAGTCCCACTTGTTTATTTTTTTGTTGCCAGTGCTTTTGTGGTCATATCCGAAAAGTGATAGCCAAGACTATTGTCAGGGAGTTTTTTCCTTATGTTTTCTTCTGGTAGTTTTCAGTTTCAGGTTTTACATTTAAATCTTTAGTTTATTTCCAGTTAGTTTTAGCATATGTTATAAGATAAGACTTCAGTTTCTTTCTTTTGCATGTGGATATTTAGCTTTTCCAACACCATTTATTAAATAGACTTTCCTTTTTCCATTGTATATTATTGGCACCCTTGTCAAATCTTAGTTGGCCGTATATGTGTGAATTTATTTTTTGGGTTCCCTACTCTGTTCCATTGGTATGTGTCATGTTTTTATGGCACCACACTGTTTTAATTAATATGGCTTTGTAATAGAGTTTGAAACAGTGAGTGTGATGCTTCCAGGTTTGTTCCTTTTTCTTAAAATTACTTTGGCTATTTGGAGTCTTTATGAATACACACAAATTTGGTTTTGTTTTTCCATTTCTGTGATGAATGCCATTGAAATTTCGATAGGGACTGCATTGAATCTGTAGGTAATCTAATTATTTTGGGTATTTTAACGATATTAATTTTAAAAATTCATGTACATATATATTTACTTTTAATTCTCTTTTTCCATTTATTTTGTCAATGTATTACAGTTTTCAGCGGACAGAGCTTTCACCTCCTTGGTTAAATTTATTCCTAAGTATTTTGTTTTAATTTTTGTAGTTATAAATGGGATTGTTTTCTTGACTTCCTTTTCAGATAATTCATTGTTAGTGTATAGAGATACCACTAGTTTTTGTATGTTCATTTTTTAATCTGCATCTTTACTGAAATCATTCATTCTAAATTTTTTTTGATGACGTCTTTAGGATTTTATCTATATAAGATCATGTCATCTGCAAACAGACAATTTTACTTCTTCTTTTCCAATTTGGTTGCCTTTTATTTCTTACCTACTTACTCTACTAGTCCTTTCAGTAATATATTGAGTAGATGTAGTAAGAGTGGGCATCTTTATTTTCTTTCTGATCTTAGAAGGAAAGTTTTCAGTTTTTCACCATTGAATGTAATGTTAGCTGTGGGCTTGTCATATGTGGCATTTATCGCTAAGGTAAGTTCCTTCTAAGTGTAATTTATTGGAAGTTTTTATCATGAAGGATGTTGAATTTTGTCAGTGCCTTTTCTGCTTCTATTGAGGTGATCATATGGTTTTTGCCTTTCATTTTGCCAATGTGGGTATATCACATTTATTATGGTTTTTGCCTTTCATTTTGCCAATGTGGGTATATCACATTTATTGATTTGCATATGTTCAAATATCACGTGCTTGATAACAGTGAATGATCCTTTTTAATGTGCTGTCAGATTTAGTGTGTTAGTATTTTGGCATTTATGTTTATCAGAGTTACTGGATTGAACCTTTCTTTTAGTATCCATCTGTGGCTTATTATCAGAGTAATACAGGCCTTATAAAATGAGTATGGAAGTGTTCCCACCTCTTCAATTTTTGGAAGTTTGGAGTAATCGATATTAGCTCTTTCACATGTTTGGTAAAAATCTAAAAGAGAATCCGTTAGGTCCCGGGCTTTTCTTTGCTGGATTCAATTTATTCCTTACTTAATTCTGTTAAGATATTTTTATCTTTTCTTCATTTAATTTTGATAAGTTGTGTCCAGAAATTTATCTATT